AGAGAGAGAGAGAGAGAGAGAGAGAGAGAGAGAGAGAGAACCTGAAGAATTCACCCTCTATGTAGTCTTACTGAAGCAACTGCCGGCCTCATTCTACTCTGGACTGAGTATAGAGAACCACATACTAGGAAGGGGAAATTTGAAAGAGAATAGGTGAATCCTCTAGAAACAAGAGTCACTATTAATTTTATTTCCCTTTCTCTCCCCACCAACGACCCCAATCTCTTTTCAAAAGCCCCTAGACCTCTCCTAAGACAAAAAGAGTTGTTCAGAGAAAGGAAGCAAATAGAGAAGAAACTTGAGAGTTTTCTAGTAGGGTCTTCAGATCTCTTAGTCATTGCAGTTTTGGGGGTCCTCCTATAACACTTGATACACACAATGAAAACTGAAGACTTCATGGGTAAAGATAATTTTATGTCCCAGAGAGCCTTCCACATGTGCACACAAACCTAGATTTAGTCAAAGGATCAAGTCTTAGCTGGTGAGGTGGTACAACTGAAGTCCAGCTCTACCATAACCCTAACCCTAACCCTGATTGATTGATTGATTGATTGATTGATTGATTGATTGATAGAAGTTTATAGAGTCTAGCTATGCAACATAACCAGATGACCCTTTCACTTGGGAAAATAGAGTCTTCCTATGAGGAAGGAACTATCCTAAGCTCCTAGACAGGAATGAAAAGAAAAAAGCCTGTGCAGCCTCCTCAGGACACACTAGGGCACTGGGAAGGCAAGCAAGAATTGTAGGCATTCTGTGCGTCCATGTGGCCAGTGTGCCCCAATGTGCCCAGAGTTCTTTGTATTTTCAAACACTCAACCAAATATATCAGATTGATTTTTGAGGATTAGCACACCTGGATTGATTTTGGAGATGTGCCTCTAATCAGAGTAAATAAATATTGTATAAAACTGTGTGATCTTGTGTTCTAGGGAAGCAACAATGGGAAATATATTCTTTCCGAGGCTCTTCCCTTCTTTAAAGAGATAATACTATCTTTGGGGATATGCCCCCCCCATGCCCTCAAGCAATGGAGACTGTCCTACTGCTCTGTGTGTGTGTGTTTTGTTAGCACACTCATCTCAAGCTGTAGAGTAAATTTGTCTTTATTTGGACTTATTAAATAAAGCAAAGCTTCCTCTTCAAGGACAGTCTCCTAAGATTTTGGTTGGAGTAAGTTGGTGTAGGCAAACAGAAGGGCACCAGGGCATGGCAGCAAAGGGCTGTGAACACAGAGGTTTCCTCTTTGGAAACAGAAGTTTCAGTTCTTGTAGCTTCTCTAAGCCCCAGGGCCCTAGGACTACTGAGGTTTCATAGAATTCTCCTTTGAGGGTCATTTTGCCGTGGTGCCAGGCAGACTTGGGTTGAGTCTTTTGGCGTTAGAGGAGAAAGACCTTCTCTGCCTTCATTATTCCCATCTAGGGCTAGGACAATAGTCCTTTTCCCGGCAAAAGTCCCAGAGTCAGGAACCCACCTTAGAGAACAAGGCCAGCAACTTTCTCAGCAGATCCTTCCACGACTGCTTGGAAGACCATCTTCTGAGTTTGTTCCACTTGCATAAGCCATCAGTGGGGACGAAGTGATGGGTTAAAACCCTGTGTAGACGCATAGCACTGTCATGTCTGTAAAAGACCCTTTTATTGGAGCTGGGATCCTTGTAGCAGCCCCCTCTGCGCATCCATCACATTCAAATGAGAATTCTCCCACTCAGAACCCGCCTGAGTCCCGGCATGGTATCAGAGCCCACCTTCAAGAAAACTCCAAGAGCAGATGCGTATCTATTAAACGGTAGAGAAGAGTGGAGGGGCCCTGGGGACTAAAGGGCTTCTGGGAGGGGGAGGAGAAGGAGGAGGGGGCCAGAGCTTTTTCACAACCAACCAGACTCTTCCTCTTTTAGCCTTGACCGTGACTAGGTCTTTCTGACCTTGACATCACAGGATTACCGGGAAAGGGGGGAGGGTGGAAAAGGCCTTGATCTTCCGGTGGCCAGAAAAAGGGAGGGCTGCTTGCCCCCTAGACACGCCATCCTTCTTCCCGCCGGAGCCCTCCGCCTCTGTTTACACACAGAGGAGGTGTCGTCTCCAGTCTAGACAGGGGCGCTAATAACGCCCATAAAAGGCGGCCTCTCCAGAGAGGCTCTGGTAACTCAGCTCCTGCTCGCCTGCCGCCGCTGACTTGCTCCCTCCGCCTCTCGCGCCCCGCCCCTCAGATACCTTGGCGGAGCCCCTGGGAAGCCTTGTGGTGGGGTGGGGGGATTCAGAAGGTTTCTAGAGGCTGATAACCTCTACCCCTCGCCCTTCTGAGCCTCTTCAGTCTCCAAAGGTAAGTGGATCCCTGCGCTTCCAGCCCAGCGAGGGTGGGGGGAGGTATAACAGGACATTTTCTCACCCCCCAACAACCTCCTGGGCTTACTGCTCCAACCTGAAACATACCCCAGTCTTAGAACTGGGACTGGAACGCTGGGTTTTTGGAAACAGCTGAGCAACTGCGTTTGGCAGAACCTAAGGATGTCTCTGTCCTCTCCAGGGCTAGGCCTAGTCAGTGGACACTATCATGGACAAAGGGCCAGCCTAAGGAAAGAGGGTACTCCAAGTAGTACTCCTACCCTCTTCCCAACCCAGCTTTGAGGTGCATGAGGGCGTTCTTGAGGGCGGCCCCCCCACCCTTACAGTAGCAGTGGGTGTGGCATTTATAAGAATGTTTTATATGTATACATATAATTGGTCCCTACACCTTTCCTGACACTCAGTAATTCACTAGGCGAGGAGATCCTCTGCTGGTGGAGGGGGAAAATGTCAGAGTTGGCAGTCTATTTAACTGTTAGCACCACAGAAAGACCTCGAAGAAAATAAGGGCAGATCTCTCTCATAGAGGTGCTCATGATGGGGAGTCTTCCAAATGTTCTTTCCTGGGGGCTCTCACCACCTCCCAGTTTTCTGAGTGAAAAGGACCTTTTGTTGGAGGGGAGACCTAGAGGAGCCTGAACCTAAAAGCCTGCTTGAGCTTCTAAGGTTAGTCCAAGATTCCACTTCCAAGCTGCTGACCCCTAGAAAGCAGCACAGAACAGGCAATCTCCTAATTTGATGCTTTGATTTGGGACACTTGCAGGAATGGTGGAGGCCAGATGGACTCCATCCCCTAGAGGAACCAGAGAAGGGCCCAATTAAGGGAGAAAGAACCCTCCCTCTACCCCATCCTGTAGCCTTGTCTGAATGTGAGAAAGGTCCATCCCAAGCTCGAACGTCCCAAAGGGACCAGACTTGGGGTGCAGATAGTGCATGGAGAGAGACCCTTCCCAGCCATCATTTTTCTTCTCTTTAACAGAGCTATGCTTGCATCTCTACAGGGGCCCAGGCCCTGCCTCATTTGCATATGCAGTGAACCCCTTTCTGAAAACAGGCTCCCATGGCCTCAGCTCAGCAAAGAGAAGGCAAAATCGAACCAGATAATTCTCAGTTTAGGATTAACAGTAGAGTCTAAATAAAGCTGCATCACAGTCAGTTTGCCTGGACCACTAGAGCCTGTTGAGATTTTATAATTAACTTATGTAGGCTCCTGCCGCTGTAGAGGCTGAAAATGCTAGAAGAATGGAGGCACAGAGAAGGTGTGGAGAGGTAGAGGGACATCCTGCAGGTACATGATCCTGAAGAAGGCTAGCTGCATTTCTTGGGTGTTCATGGGAAGCCTCGGACTATATTCTTGCCTTCAGCTTTAATTAACACATG